AATGCACTCGAATGGAATAAATAAAGGCAATTACAAACAAATTCAGAAAAATGACAGAATGCAGCTCTCTCGCTCTCTACAATTCTTTATTGTGAATTTTCACCTATTACGTGTGGGTCCGGAAATGGCAGTTCAATCCGCACATATAGTACCTTGCCGAAATGGTGGCAACATTCTCCATCCAAGCCATGATCTGGCCGCCAAAGGTGCTGACTTGATGGTTGGCGTGGGGCGGAAGCACCAGCTCCACACTTTCCACTCGGGTGCGCTCGGCTGGCACGGCGTCCTGGTACTCCCGGCACTCTCCTGTGGCAAGAACAGAGGACCCAAAAAAAAACAAAAACAATAACAACAACATTCCAGCAGGTGAAAATTACTCCAATGGGAAACCTTATCGAATACAATCGAATTCCTTTATTGCCATTGTATGATGCAGATCCAAGCAAATTGGGAGGTGTGGCGGTATACCCAGCTGTGCCGTGCTGCTGCTCAGCAGGTCTGTGATAATCTCGGCGTGGATGAGCCTCATTCTCCTCCTCTCTGCCGCCAGGCTGTACTCCATCTGCTCCATTTGTGTTTGAGGGGTCAGCTGCTTCAGTTGCACCTGTAAAGGAACACGTGAACAGAAGTCAGGGCAACCAACAGGTACATGGGATGGATGAAAGTATCGGGACAACTGTCGGTGACATTCTACCTATTAAAATGTGCATTAATTACATGTGTCAATATTTTTTGCAACTTTTTTTTTTTTTTACGTTTTATGCAATGGACATTGTGCTGCTCCTTCTGGCCTTGGCCGCTTGTGGTCATTGTAACACAAGCATACTGATTTATAGAAAGGAGGTGATCACAACTGCTCAGTAAGCCACAGTAATAGGGGGTTCATTCTTTGCGGAGGATAAAGAATATATACCTGTGAGTATTTCTATATTATCTGTCTACATGTGAGCTGTGCTTGAGCAACGGTGATGTCATTTTCACTTGACAAAAAGTGGCAAATTGGCCCCCACTGAGGTGACTAGAAATGGGTGGATTTTGCTGATCAACTCATATTCCACAAACGTATTATGAATCAGAATGCCGTGTTTAGACTAGCGAAGGCATATAGGACATAATATTGTGAAGAAAAAATTGGGACTGACTGCCCCTTTAAGGCAAAGCTACAGAATGTGGTTGTTTGAAATACAAAACAATTTTTTAATTTTGTGTTTAGGTTGACAGTAGACTTCAACTGGGAGTGTCAATAAAGATTTTGAAACCTCCTTTTTTTTTTAAGATTTGTTCCCGATTTGACAAGCTCCTGCTTGTTGAGAAGTGTATCTTTTTTTTTTTTCCTGAAAGTAGGCCAATACTCCGGCTACTTATTGAGTCATTCAATAATTCGTGGCTTAATTGATGTTTCAATATTTTTGCCCGTTATCTTAAATGTCCCATCTCGTTAAATACCTTTCCCGTTTCCCTTCTCCTGGCCACAAAAGTAGCAAAGGCTTGACAAACCCTCCAATGAGTGTCAGTGTAGAGGTCCTCGCATGTCACCATTATGCCAACCTAAAATGTAAAAAAATAAAATAAAATAAAAATAAAAATTGAAGTTATGAGATAACTTGGAAAATGTTCAATTGCAAAATCAGTCATAACCACCAACCTCCATACTGGATGTGAAGGCTCTGTTGACTTTGGCGATGATGGTGACTACATTTCCCACCCTGCAAAGACGCACGCACACACACACACGCATGCGCACACACACGCACACACGACCTTACAATCAATACGGAGCAGAGATGATGCCATCATCATAGGATAGGTCGCTAATCTTATCTCTAGAGCATGTGACAACTGTATGAAAGTCATCTGCGAACCACTACACATGGCTCTGTGTTTGTTCCATTCCAAAAATTGTTTTCCCGTTACAGTGGTATGTGAACATCTGAGTTGAATTAGTTTTGTTACAATGCCCGGAAAGAAACGGCGAAGTCCATTTTCCCCACGGAAATGAATTGAAATGCCATGAATTCATTCTGGACCCTCCAACAACAACATTTATTTAGTGGAAGAGCACTTCATTGCCATGCCTATCACTCACTATGTACTGCTGGCATCAAGTCGATTTCAAGCCGGTTAAATGAAAATGGGATTATTTCCCATGGTCCGCCAAGGAGCCGCAGCACGATGTTGTTGGGAGTGACTGGTGTCGGTTCAGGTTCGGTTCTTACCCTATGGTGTGTTCAAAGTGGATGTCATCGACAGAGGCGGTGACACAGGAGCAGCCTGCGTGTCTCTCAGCTGCGACGAGAGATCAGTTCAAGTCAGAATAAGTCATCATAACCAAGAGCCAAGCAATTATTCAAATTCAAATTAACATCGCAATGCAGCAGAATGCATTTTTTTTCATGTTTATGTTTTGATGTTTCATGTATCTTACATTTGTATGCAGTTCTACTGAAAGTAATCCCGATATCTTTTGTTGATTTTCTAGTGCATATCCAAAATTCATACACTGAACATGTGAAAGTCTTCTTAAATACATTTTATCATTGGCTTTTCATTTATTCACCGTGCGTACTCCCACACGTTCGAGTAAGTGAATTAAGATAAGAAAACCTTTATTTGTCTCACAATGGAGAAATTCCCAATTTACAGCAGCAGGGATTTAGAGTTCCACTTGAATGATGTTGCATTTTGAACTCCACTGTGCTGTGAAAATACCAGGAAGGGCGAGTACAAAGGGCAAAAAAAAAAAACAAAGGTTACATTTGTTCATTGTCTTATCAGTTTCAAGCTTTGTAAATACATTCATCCATTTTTTTTAGCTAGCACTTATCTTTCCCATTCACACATATGGACAATTTAGGGTCTTAACGTGTATGTTTTTGCAATGTGAGAGCAAGCCTCAAAAAAAATCCCCCAAAAAACAAAACATTATCAGTGGGCCCGTAACTTTAATTCCAATTTGCCCACCTGACAGGCAGGCTGTGGAGTCCATCCATTTGAGCAGCTGTCCGGCGCTCAGCTCGCCACAGTGATTGGAGTGGCAGGGCAGCACGATCTGACTCATCGTGACTTCCGTGGGGTTCCTGTACGCCTCGCCGATCTCCATCGTTACGCAGGCACCTTTCCCCTCCTCCGATGTCATGACTCACTGCTGCGCAGACGGTGAGACACGGAACGGCGCGTCACAGTGGAGCCGGGAAACATAGCATTGCAATTACAGTCAAGGCTTTCGAGTGGGTAAGCAAATATAAACAACTGAGATGTGGTTGCATAAGTGTGCACACCCACTAAGAACAGTGGCTGTGTTCATGAGAAACCAATCACGCTGTAAGTCATGTGAAAATGGAGTCACCGTTTTAAGTGCCTCTGATTAGCCCCAAATAAAGTGCAGCTGTTCTAAGAGGCTTCAAACTCAAAAACCTAGAATTTGAATTGGAGTGCGTGCACTTTTCATATCCGCTGTATTGCACAGATTTTTAAGCCATTGTTATTCATGTTTTTTTTAAACAGTATAAAATTGTGCCTTGAGAGACACAAGTGAGCCGACTGACAAATTCTTCGGGAGATGAGCTAATTTGGTTTGATTTTAATTCATTTTACAACAAACCGTAATTTTGCAGATGGTGAACAATTCTTCATTCAAACCTGAAAAAAAATGGAATTAAAACGACAACATAGCTTTGTGTTTCCATGTCAATCTAGAATCAGCAGCCCTGGTCAGCTATAGTAGCAATGGCAACATTGCTTTAACAAATCAGATTTCAAGTTGGCCCACAAAAAACGGCAGCACTTTTCCTGGCCACTGATTTGTTGTTGGGAGGCAAAACTGTTCGACAAGCAAAAGGTGTCTGTCGCAATCTGCACACATTAATAGAGATAACAATTACGACCTTTGGTGAGTATAATGTACTTAATTGACAGTTTATGAATTTTTTTTTTTTTGTCATGACATTGTGAACCCTCGAGATGACGCCCCGCCCCCGAATGTTGTTCTCCATGCACATTTTAACGTCATCTTCCAATGAAATGGCCCAAATTTATCCCTTGAGTTTGTATTAAGTGATAACACCCACGCCCCAAAGAAGACGATCCGTATTCACAATCGAAACGCATTACATTCCTGAATTCTCATTTGCAGGTTGGGACTTGTGACACTATGTTTACAAAATTGCATCAACCGACCTGCAACAAACGAATACAGTACCCGACTGAGTGGAATTCAAGTATCTAATTTTGTTGGTTAGCACTCGAAGTATGTCTGTGTAACGCAAAAAGAGAGAGAGTATGTTGAACTCAGAAGAGAAGCAAAAAGTAACTTACCGATCGTGAAAGGGGACTCTGGCTTTGGAAGTTGAGTTGTCAGTCCTTCCAAAGGCGGAAAACCGGGTAGGAAGGAGCAAACGGCAACCAGGAAGGGGGCTCTTTTTCATTTCCCCATTCTTCAATATCAACACGCACATACACACAAACACGCACACGAAAACCTGTCACAACATACTCGCCACCGGAGGGAAGGCGGGGGGGGGGCGGG